TTTTTTTTTTTTTTTTTTGGTACCGGGGATGGAACTCAGGTGCTTGCACTTGCAAGGCAGGCGGTGGAACCACTGAGCTAAATCCCCGGCCCAAGGTGTGGCTTTTTGAAAAACCACAATCTTATCATCAAGATTTTCCTCGTCTCCTTTCTACCTATACATTTTTTTCCTGTCCTCCCTCAGTCCCTGCCATGCGCAAGGCAAGTGCTCTATCCTGCCACCATCGCTGTGCTGGATGGGTCTGGGTTCGAATCCCAGCTCCCCTGCCTCTGTGTGGCTGTGGGTGAGTGGCCTGGCCTCTCTGGGAGCCCTTGGCCCCTCTGTAAGAGTCTTCACCAGGCCATACGTGTAGGACCTTCAGGTGCCTGGCAACAGCGGCCGCTCACGCTCTCCTGCCTGTGGGTGTCGTACACCGAACCCTTCCTTCCTGTGCCACCCACACCCCCACGGCTCCTGTGTGGCTCAGAAACTTCCGGTGCCCTACCTCAAAACAAAGACTGGCGGTGATTCCCAGTCTGAAACCAGGCTCCTGCCTCCCCCCCACCATCCAAGGTGTCACTTTTCATGGTTCCATTTACCTAAAGGCGCCAGAGGTCTGAAAATATGTGCGCAAGGACTGGCTCCATTTGTCAGTGCCATGCGAGCCTCCTCCCGTGGGATTACTGGGCTCTGTTAGTCTCTCGTGGTCCGTGGAGGTCCGTGGAGGGCTGGGGTCCACGCCGTGGACCCTGCTCCAGCTCGCCTCTTCCTGGAGGAGCTGAGGTAGCGACACCCCCGGAAAGCTAGGATCACAGCCTCGAGTCCATACGGGAAGAGCTTCGGGGCCCTTAAAAGAGGCCCTGGGACTCGAGGCGAGACAGCAGGGATAGAGAGAGGCCTCCCGGGAACCGGTGGGGACCAGACCGGGTCAGAGCAGGGAGGGTGAGGACAGGAGGAGGCCCGGGGACGGGGCAGGGGGAGCACTTGCCGGCTGCAGGGTGGGACAGGGGTGCACCCCAGGTCTCAGAGCTGGGCTGTGAAGGATCCCCGCACGGAGAATTACAGACGGTCCCCAACTGATGACGCTTCAGCGTCTGATTTTCTTTCCGCTAGGATGGGGCAAGAATGGGCTGGGCCCTGACAATCGCTCTGTTTTCCACTTCCAGACGGCACTGTCCTGAAGTGAGTTTGCCCTGTGAGTCAGGGAGCAAGGATTTTGCAGGAGGTGAGAGGTGTGGAGGGGAGAAGCGGGCGCGGGAGTCACCGGCAGGGGGCAGCACGAGCCTGCAAGAGCGCTGGGTCTCCGCCCAAAGATTCAAATCCATCCCCACCTGGAGAAGTTAGTACTCCAAATGTACACGGACAACCCGAAAACGTACACCGTACACTGATATACGGATACACCGGTCAACACGCGGATAATGAGCCGGGCGTGGTGACACACACTTGTGATCCCAGCACTCCGGGAGGATGAGATAGGAGGATCACAAAAGTGAGCCCAGCCTGGGCCACTTAGCAAGATCCTGTTTCAAAAAGGACTGGGCACGTAGCTCAGTTCGAAGGCCCTGGTACGAGCCCAGGCCACTTAGCAAGATCCTGTTTCAAAAAGGACTGGGCACGTAGCTCAGTTCGAAGGCCCTGGTTTCAAGGCCCAGCACCACACGCGCGCACACACATACACAAGGTATTACAGAGACTTTCAAAACCACCCGGAAGCCAGGCATGGCGCATACAACTCTGATTCCAGGTACTTGAGAGGCTGAGGCAGGAGGATCACAAGTTCAAGACCAACCTGGGCAACTTAGTGAGATACTATCTCAAAATAAAAATAAAAAGGGGTGGGATGTAGTTCGGCAATAAGCACTTGCCTAACATACACCAGGCCTTGGGTACCATCTCTAGCAATGCCAAAAAAAAAAATCTAAACACTCAAATACACCCCCACCTAGACAAGTTGACACTCAAGACTTACTCATTCTGTGTGTGTGTGTGTGTGTGTGTGTGTGTGTGTGTGAGAGAGAGAGAGGATTTCACTTTTTAGTGCAGGCTGGCCTTGAACTCACTGTGTAGCCCAGACTGTCTTCCAATTTGTGGCAACCCTCCTGCCTCAGCCTCCCAAATGCTGAGATTACAGGTGCATACCACCATACCCAAAGTCTCAAGACTTACTTAAACACATACTAACAAACCTGAAAATATACACTCTATCTGCTGATCCATCAATGCACTAATGTAGAGAGATAACGGTTCATGCCCACACACACACACACTCACGCATACCCAGGCTGGGTTTGTGCAGCCCGGAGGAGAGTCCTCTAGGATGGGCAGAGGGGGCTTGGGGTGCTAAGGGCTTGGCCTGCTCCCAGCACAGGATCCCGGGCCCCCCTCCCACAGCCCGGGCCATCAGCTGATGTGTCTGGCAGCCTTGGGCTGCAGTCTCCGCCCCTCTCGCTGGCAGCGGGTCCTGGCAGGGCTTCCCGGCCCGGCTCCTGCTCCGGCTCCGGCCCATCACCCTCAGACACGAGGCCCCATGGCCTCCTCGGCGCTCAACCACTCCTGGCCGGCTCTCTCCAAGCTGTGGCCGAAACGGTGGGCTTTCAAGAGAGGTGAGTGGCAGGTGGCAGCTGGTGGCCCTGGAGCCCTGGACTGCCCGCCCACAGTGCCCTCCAATCCTGGAGGCTTCCCTTGGGCCGGGCACAGCCTCCGCCTAAGCCACCCCGATTCCTTGACCCCGGCTCCCCACCCCGGGTGTCCCCTGGGACGTCAAGGGCTTTTTGTGTCAGGGGGGTCACCGCCCAGGCCCTGCACAGGACTTCTCTCCGAACGAGAAGGCCCCCCCAGCTCGGCCCTGGACTCCTGAGGGGCAGTTTGGTGGCACACAGGGTGTCCCCGGTACTCTTGGTTCCCAGAGCCACTGCAGGACAAGAGCTCAGGGTGACAGCGTAGGAGGCAGGGTTGAAATTCCCAGGCACGAGCCTCCCTTGGACACCCCCGGGGGGGCACTGCCTTGGGGCCCAACACCCTCCAGAGTCCTGGGACCTCGGTTTACCTCCAGAGGGACTGCAGAGGCCCTGGATTCCGTCCCACAAGCCTTGGCTGAACCCTTTTGGGGAAGCAGGAAACACACTTCCGCTGAATCTCAGCCCCCTGAGTTAGGCCTTGGCAGGAACCAGGTAGCGTCTGGGTCCCCGGGACCTGGTGTGGGGGACACTGCGGCAAGGCTGGCCGTGCCCCCATCGCCTCCTGGTTTCCAGGCCTTCCTGTGCTCCCCACCCCACGTGAGGCTGCCTGGGTCTCCAAGGTGAGCGTGCAAGCTGTGCTGGGACTTGGAGGCCCGCCTGTTCTGGGGCTGCCTCGGTGGTAGGTGCTGCCTGGTGAGCGAGGCTGCCGGTACGGGGCGGCCTGGGCCCCAGGGAGGTCTGCTTGGTCATTCCCAGCTGCTCGGCAGCTTGAGGCTTGGTGTTCAGGCCAGCAGGTGGAGTGAGCCGCAGGGACTGGCGGTGACCCTCGCGCCCTGGTGCGTGGGGGCTGTGGAGGAAGAGGCCGCCCAAGGCTGACCCGGGCTGGTGGCAGCTTGCTGAAAACCAAGGGGGCCGTGCCAAGACGCACTCGTGGCCCTGCGTGGCTCTGAGGCGCATCCCTGCTGGCATTGGCCCAGGGATCAGGGAGAATGGTGCCACCCGCGCCCCTCTGCAGCTCCATGATTGGCTGTCTGGGCATCGTCCATCATCCATAAACATAGGGGCACTGATTCTGCCCAACCCAACATGGCACAGGACAGCCTGGTGATTGTGAGCTGCTGGGTTTTTGTTGTTGTTGTTTTGCTTTGTTTTGTTTTTGTACCAGGGATCAAATTTGGATCCTTGCACTTGTGAGGCAGGCGGCGGAACCACTGAGCCAAATCCCCCTCCCTGAGCTGCCGTTTTGAACTCAGAAATGCCTGGGTTCAAATCCCAACTCTTCCTCATCCTGGCTTGCGTGAAGGGGTGCTGTAAATATTTTTAGATTTGCAGGCCGTGTGGTCTCTGATGCAACTACTGAACTCCGCAGTTGTAGTGGGGTGGAAGTAACAGGTGATAGAGAGGTGAACAGGCGTGGCTGTGTGCCAATAAAACTTTATTTATCAAGTCTAGCAGGGAGCTGAATTCGACCCATGGGCCACAGAAAAATGCAAGTGAAGTAATTACAGCACAGCAAGGCATCGATAAAGAGGGCAGAACCATCAAAACCCTCAAGTTGAATCTGCCAAGAACCCAACAGAGCCCTCCGCTGCCAGGCTGAAAGAGGAGGGCTGCCGGGTGGACATGCCACAGAGATACATGGGAGGATGGTGCCCTGGGAGCGCAGGGATGGTGAGAGTCGAGAGGCAGGGTGGAAAAGGTTTTGAGTGTCATTCTAAGCCAGCCAGGAGTGGTGATGATAGCCTGTCATTCTGCACACTGGAGGCTGAGGCAGGAGGATATGGCACGTTCAAGACCAGCCTGAACTATGTAGCGAGAACCTGTCTCAAACAAACAAAATTCAACATCATGCGGAGGGGACTGGAATGTGTAGTGTGAGAGAGTCATGAAAAGAGAGTGACCATTCAACTAGGATGCCAGGGAGACACACCAGCTCCAGGACAGACGGACCAGAGAGCAGAAACCAGTGGCTGAGCTCAGTGACAGTGACTGGCATCTGTATAGGGCAGTTGTTATGCGCAACTGATGGAGCTCAGTTTATGACACTGGGATCCAGGCTCAGCCTGAGAGAGTAAATAAGGACTTGGTCTATGAAACCAGGTCAGGGCTCAGGATGTGACTCCAGGGTTGGGGCTCAGCCTCAGACACAGGGATCAGGGCTCAGTCAATGGCCCCAGATGAAGACTCAGTCCCAGTCAAGAATTGGGACTAAGGAAACTAAGGCAAGGACCAAGTAAAGAGGAAGCAAGGTAAAGGAGTGTGGAGGTGACTTTGACAAAGTATGGTGTCCTGTGAGGTGGGAAGGAGGCAAGACTGGTCTCTGGGCTTCTTGCCTGCTTACTGGTAGGATGGGGAAGTCACTTGGGAGGATGGCTCAGGCTGTGTCTGGGATCAGGGCTCAGTCTGTGCCTTGGATAAAGGCTCAGTATATGACCAGAGTTGAGGTTCAGCTTGTGGCACCAGGAGGGTAACTAAGTCTACAACTGCAGGATTAGGGCTAAGCCTATGACACTAGGTTTGGGGCTCAACTGGACTATAAGATAGAGCATGATGTATGACACCAAGATCCAGGCTCAGTATGTGACATCATCAGGGCTCAGCCAAGACAGAAGAATGAAGTTCCATCTGTGACACCTGGACTGAGACTCAAAGATTTGGGCCCAGTCTAAGAACCAGGATCAGAGTCACGTCTGCCATCAGGTCAAGTGTTCCTGCTCCTGGGTCACAACCTTCCATAAAAAGACTTAACCACCCCTGCACTTTCAACTTCAGCCTTTGGATCCTAAACCTTCAGCATTCACCAGTGCATGGCTGGAGGTTCCATCTTCCTCCTAAGCAGGATTTGGGAGACCTCAGGCTTCCTCCAGGCACTACATGCACCCTGTTCTGTCACCCCTTGGGGTGCACCCCTCCCTCCCAAGCTCCCATCAGCCTCCAGCACCCACCTCTACACCCCAAGCCTGGAACTGGGGCCCAGGCTCCATATGCCCCAGTGGTAGCTTTGCCAGGGGCCCCAATAATGCTTTTTTGGTGAGGGCTCTATTGAGATTTGTATAATTCCCACAACACACAATGTATTCATTTAAAATATTCAAACTAGTGGTTTTCAGCACATTTCCAGAGTTGTGCAACCACAACCACATCAACTTTAAAATATTTTCATCGCCCCCCGGGGAAGCTTTCATCACACCCACAATCTCCATTTTCCCCAACCCCTGGCAACCAATAAGCTACTTCCTGTCTTCTATAGATTTGCCTATTTTGAGCATTTCACAGGAATGGAGTCAGATGACACAGGGGTCCATGTGACTGGCTGCTTTGACTTAGTGTGTTGTCCGGGTTCGTTGTCATGTGTTCACCACACCCTTTTCACGGCTGAATAATACTCCACCGTATGGATATACCACAGTGTGTATGCCCATTTCATCCACCAGTGGGCATTTGAGGTATTCCCACCTGGCTGCGGTGGATAAAACTACTACAAGCCGTCGAAGGCAAGTCTCGGGTGAGTGAATGTTTTCCCTTCTCTTAGGCAGGTAGGTGCCTAGGAGTTAGAATTCTGGGTCATGTGCTAACCTCCTACATTCACTTTTTGAGGAACTGCCAGGCAGTTTTCCAATCTCTGTTATTCTGGTACACATGCGTGCATGCACGTGGTGCCTTGTCATCTGTTCATAGAGCGTGTTTATTTCTCCCTTGACTATGTTCTGTGGTCTGTGATACCTCCCAATGTATCATCCGTGATTTTACATTCGTGTGTGCGTGTGTGTGTGTGTGTGTGTGTGTGTGTGGTACTGGGGATTGTACGGAGGGCCTTTGCACAGAGCCACATCCTCGGCTTTTATTTATTTTTTTATTTGGAGACAGGATCTTTTTAAGTCACTATGTTATCTAGGCTGGGTAAACTTAAGACCCTCCTGCCTCAGCTTCCCAGAGTGCTGGGATCACATATATCCTTTTTTCTTCAAGGAGCGCCCCCGCAAAAAAAAAATTGTATATGTTTCCAATCTGCAGAACCTGGAGCGGTGTTTGTAACATTCACAGCTGGGGGAGAAAAATGTCCCTGTCCCCTTTTCTCGGCTTATCTCTGGCTGGGACAAGGAGAGCCAGCGCTGCCCTCTCGTGTCTGTTGGCTACACCGGTTCGGGGCAGGGAGGCCACCATGTGTCCCCAGCCCACTCACTTCGGAGAGGGATGCGAGGGTGTTGGGAGTAAGCTCCTTGGCTCAGCGCTTCCAACTACGATGGTCTCCCGGACTCTGGGAGTGGGGTGAACCGAGCCACAGGGAGCCCAACTTAGGCAGTGAACAGGAACCAGGCCAAGCTCCACCCCTAAACCATCCTGCGCTCAGGGGCGGGGAGTTTGGAAAGCGACTGGATGGTGGGGATGCGGTGCCCATGAGCGGATTCCTCCTGCCCGCTGAATCCACGGCCCAGGGCACGGTCAGGAGGCGGGGCCTGGGTGGAAGAGGCGGAGCGCTGGTCAGTGGGGGCGTGACCTGGAAAGGTGCCGCTCCTCTCTGGCTCCTCCCTCTGCCGTTACTTCTGGTCACCATGAGGAGAGCCCTCTCCTCCGCCAGGCCCTCTGCCTTGCGCCCTGACTACACTGTGAGCTAAAATAAACCTTTCAGCCCACTCACCCCACTGCGTCCGCCTGCACAGGTGTCTGTACCAAGGGTTCATTCCTGCCCCTGCACCTCCACGTACCTACTGAAGCCTCACCCCGGGCCATCCCCTCCGTCCCTTCTTTCTGTCATTCAAGTCCTGGCTTCTGATACCTTGACCCTCTTTCTCCACAGGTTCTGAGCCCAAGTCATGTGTCCAGCCCTTTGATTCTGGAGCTGCAGCCTTGGCCACCAAGAGTAGCCGTGAGCCCTGGAGACCCGAGGACCCAGACGTTTTCTCCATCATGCAGGATGAGCAGGCAGGTGTTAGCCAGGCATCGAGAGCAAGAGCGGCCAGCAAGTACACTTTGTTTAGCACCTGCATTTTACCAGACACTCGATATATATTTTCTGAGGGAGCTCTTCTCAAGACGCAGCAGTCATTACTACCCTGTTTTACAAATGAGGAAATTGAAGAAGAGGGAGGAAAGAATGGGATGGATGGATGGACTGACGGATGGACGGGACGGACGGATGGTTGGCTGGATGGGTGGCGTTCAACTCATGGAAACCCTCCTGCCTCAGCTTCCCAAGTGCTGAGGCTATAGGCATGCGCCGCCACACCCAGTGAGATGTGGGATTAATATATACATACACACATATACATGAGATATCTTGGGGGAAAGACCCAATCCTAAACACAAAATTTTGAATGGATAAAATCACTATATATTTATATATATTTATATATTTATAATGTGTGTATGTATGTATATTTATATATACATATACTATATATATTATATATACATATATCCCAGCCATAAGGAGGAATAAATTGGACTAATTTGTAGGAAAATGGATACTCCCTATGACCGTGACACTAAATGAAATAAATCACACACTCAAGCTTAAGCGTCACATGGTTTCTCTTTCATGAGAAATCCAAAGTATAAATAAAGAGCAAAGCCAGGCCGGGCATGGTGCCCCAAGCCTGTCATCCCAGCACTCGGGAGGCTGAGGCAGGAGGATCGCTGTGAGTTCAAGACCAGCCTGGGCTACATAGTGAGTTCCAGGTCAGTCTCAACTATGTAGTGAGACCCTGTCTCAAAACACCAATAAATAAATAAAGAGCAGAATAAAAGCTAGACGATAGGAATCAGGAGGTAGAACTTTTGCTGATGAGGAGGGGATCTAGGGATGGAGGTATAGGGGAGGGAGGAGCGAGAAAGAACAAAAGGACTGAAAATACCCCGCCAAGTTAATCTGTGTTTTCACGCGCACCTCACACACACAGCCTGAAGGTCATTTTAGGCACTATTTTTAGAGCCTCCGCATTTTGACTGCAACCTGTCACGAGATCAGGTGTGGAATTTTCCACTTGCACGTCACCGTGGCAGCGCTCAAAACATCTTTGGAGCGTTTGGACATCAGGTTTTGGGGTTAGGGATGTCAGTCTGGATTGGCTCGCCGTGTTGTCTGAAGTCACTTTTTTACAGGGCAAAATGAGACAACCTTCTCGGTAGCTTTGCTGTGTGATCTTTTTCTGGCGGACAGCAAGATGAATATGTGTGCAGACTTTTCAAAAAATAGAAGTGGAGGCGGGAGATTTAGTTCCGTGGTTCCGTTGCCTGCCTCACAAGTGCAAGGTCCTGAGTTCGATCCCCAGTACCAAAAACCAAAAACAAAAACCAAAAACCCCAAAATAGAAGTGCATTCCTACAGTATCTGAACGTACAAGCAGGGAGCTTCTGAAAACAGGGGGTTCCTGGGAGATTTGGCCTGGCGGAGCTCACCCTCTGCCGCATCCGAGCAGTGTTTGACCAGCAGCCCCAGGGCCTGCCTCCCCTCTTCCCTCACCCGGGAAATGAGGTGCAAGACAGGCAAGAGCTTTCAGGCAGATGAAAAGGCCTCCCTTTGCCTGCCATCGAGTACTGGCAGGGAGCTGGGACAGCCTGTGCTGGCCGCCCTTCCTCCCCGCCAGCACTGGCCCAGTTCCTGCTCGGGGAGGGAGTCCGCCGGCCTGAGGCTGTCCGCCGTGTTTATATTTACCGGAAGATGGAAAGCAGACACACCACGGAGCCCTCGGGGTGGGGGGTGGCAGTGAGGAAAGAGACAGGAGTCAGGAGGAGGCTGTCCAGACTCAGGGGATAGGGATGGAGGGATGCGGAGGAAGGCAGGACCTGAAAGCAGGCTGTCAGGAAGCCACTCTGCCAGCCGGAGCCCTGAGTTGTGGGTGTCTAGGAAGAGACCAAAGAAGCAGGCACTCAAAGGGCAAGAGGGAAAGAGGAGGCACACAAGCAGCAACCATGGAAATAGAAGGGAAATGAGCACAGAAACAAGGGTCAGCTGGGCATGGTAGCACATGCCTGTAATCTCAGAGCTCAGGAGGCTGAGGCAGGAGGATCTCCCTGAGTTTGAGCCCAGCCTGGACAACTTAGCAAGACCCTGTCTCAAAATGAAAAAAAAAAAAAAAAAAAAGACAGAAAGAAAAAGAAAGGGCTGGGGGGATGTAGCTCATTGCAATGGCCCTGGGTTCCATTCCCAGTACTGGGGTAGGGGGGTTAGATGGTAAATTTTATGTTGTGTATATTTTATTGCAATAAAAATAAAAAGGAGGGAGAGGCCATATGTGTAGAGAGGTCAGGGTGGGAGAAGTGCCCTACCTACCCCCAAGCAGGGCTGAACACTGCACCCTGCCTCCTGCTGGTTAAAAATCCACAGTGGCAGCCAGATGTGGTGCCACTCATCCATAACCCCCAAACACAGAGCGGCTGAGACAGGAGGGTCACAAGCTCCAGCCTGGGCCCGGGTTGGCAGAGCCCTGGTGGGAACGTCCCTCTCCCATCGGCCTGCTGTGGGAACGCTGAGCCCGGGCTGCACGGGACGACGAGACAGCAGGGTGTGGGTGTTGGGGACCCGGGCCCTGCTTCCCCTTGGCCGATGCCCTCTCTTCCCGCCTCCTGCAGGAAGATGATTTTGCAGAACAGCTCAGCAAGAGCGCGGAGGACCTCAGCCTGGATTGGGGGGCCCTGCAGGACAGCGAGTATCTCCAGGACCTGGGCCTGGCGGCCTCTTCCCCCTGCCTGCCCGGTGGGGCCGCGGACAGCAGCTCCCCGAAGACAGAAACTGAGAGAGACGCGCCCTTCTCCAGCTCGGATGGGGCCCAGACTCTGGTGCAGAGGCGCAGCTGGGAGCGGTCGCGGAGCTGCTCCGAGGACTGGCGGAGGTCTGGGCGGGGACGGGCCGGGGCGGGGCGGGACCCCCGCGCGGACCCAGGAGGCGCCTTAGACAGCGGAGTCCGGAGGACAGAGCCAGCTTCCGGGAAGCGCTTCGGGCTTGCACGACGGTTGTCCAGCTCCAGGGCCACCAGGAGGGCTACCTCAAGCATGTGTTTGCACACTCACGTGGTCGCACAAACACGCGTGTTCACACACTAGCGTGCACAAACACGTATGTACACGCGTGCATCCGCATAGAGCCTCGTAGGTGCACAGACCCTCGTGCACACGGATCCAGCGTACACGCCCGTGCCCAAATTGAAAACTGCAGGTGTGCCCCAAAGACAAACACCAGAATGGGCACACTTGCCTGTGAGCGCTGGGTGCACATAGCCATGCTCACACGCACCCACCGATTTGCACACTCACCGTGAGACTTGTGGGATGGGTTGTGTTTTCTTTCTGTCTGCAGGGCTGGGGATGGAACCCCAGGGCCTTCACACTGAGCTCCAGACCCCAGCCCTTTTTAATGTTGATTTAAATTTTGAGACAGGGTCTGGTTCAGATTCTCCTGCCTCAGCCTCTCTGAGTGCTGGGATGACAAGCGCACCCGGTTCACCCACCACCTGTACAGATTTGCAAAAAGCACGCGAGATCAAAACACAGGCACACGTGGCTGGCCCCGTGAACCCCACAGTGCTGGCATCCAGCAAAAGGAGGGCATTTAGCCACCTCCCCTTGCCACGTTTCCCTCAGCCTCTCCCAGGCTCCCCCTAATAGGAATCTGTTCCAAAGGGGTGCGTCTGCAAAACAGGTAGCTTTAGCAAGTCTAACTGGGCTTTTCCCTCTCCCCGCTGTGCTGCCACAGAGCCCTCTGATTCTGGGGAGATACGGACCCCTCCCTGACCTGAGGGGCCCCAGATGCCAGGTGGGCAGCACCCGTGGACACCCCATAGCCTCTGTTCTCCCCACAGGCTCAGCTGCGACCCCCTGCCTTTGGAGGAGATCCCCTGCCTCCCCCGGACACTGGCTAGTCTGGCTCTCAACCTGTCGGGAGAAGGCCTGAAGACTTGGACCCAGGGCTGTCTGCCTAGGGGCGGGGCCGCAGCAGAATCCCCAGGCAAGGTGAGTGCCACCTGGACCCACCCTGACAGTGGCACGAGCTGCCTCCCAGAGAGAGCAGCACCAACTCGCAGGACTCGAACATGGTGGGGAAGAAGAGGCAGGCATCCGTGGCGTGGGTGTGGCCAGCATCCCCAGGCCCTGGGATTCAGGCTGCAGTAGCCCATCTTCTGTGGCTAAAGACACTGCTGCAGAATCGTTACGCTACCCAGAGGTCTGTGGTGCATGGCTCAAGCACCAAGGTACAGGCTCCGCATCTGGAGACAGGCAGCTTGGTGCTGGCAGAGCCCCGGGGTGGTGCAGGACACCCAGGGAGAGAGACTGTGTCCCCTGGTCTCCCTCCATCTCAGAAAGCTACCAGGGTCCAACCATGGGGGACCCGCCCTGAGCACCGCATCTAACCCCAGCCACGGGCAGAGGTCTCCTCATCCAGCAGCTTCCATTCCGACTCCGAGGGCCCTCGCCCAGCTGCCGGCTGCAGGGAGAAGAGCACTTTGTTTATTGCTGAGTCCGTCTGCAGTGGCCGAGAGCCTGCCGCAGACCTGAGACTTCTGGGGCTGCAGCCTGCGGCCGGAGGGTCTTTGTGGGAGAACAAGATCCACAGGGAATCCCACACGTCTGTGCAGCTCCAGCTCACAGACTGGGCTGGGGTCGGTGTGGCTGTAACCAGGGCTGAGACTGGGGTTCAGGGAAGTGTGGCCCCTGGTTCTATGGTGGTGCCCAGGCCACGTGCAGCTGGGAGCCTCCGCCTGCAGCCCAGCCGTCTCCGTCTCTGCAGGACCATGGCAGCCCCAAGGAGAAGAGAGAGAGGTCACGATCGGCGCCCCTGGCCTGCGGGGAGAGCAGCTCCCCAGAAGCGGCAACTGTGAGAGGTAACCCAGCCTGCAAGCCCAGGCGTCCTACTAGAGGGCAAGATGTCTGTCCTGAAGGTCCAGGGAGGAGAGAGAGAGCTGCCAGCATCTGCACGTTCTGGGGCTCTGTCTCCTCTCTCTCCCTGACTCTGCCTCTGTCTCTTCCTTTTTTAATTTTTATTTTCCCCTGTACTGGAGATTAAATCCAGGGTCTTCATACTGAGCTAAATCCCCAGCCCTTTTAATTAACCTATTTATTGTTAAACTTTGAGAGACAGTCTTGCTAAGTTGCCCAGGCTGAGCTAGAATTTGCAGTCCTCCTGCCTCAGCCTCCCAGAGTGCTGAGATGACCCCACAAGCTCTGCTTCTCTTTTTATCTCCCTCTTTGTCTCTGATTCTCTATCCTCAGGGCTTACACCTCTCCACTGTCAGTCAGATGTGTTGTGTAAACCCACACAGGCTGCTTTCTTCTGGCAGCTTTTGGAGTCTCTCTGGCTCCCTTTATAAGAAGGTTCAATAGCCAGGCTTGGAGGCTATACCGCTCATCCTAGCACTCGGCTTGGGAGGCTGAGGCAGGTGGATCGCCAGGAGTTCAAGGCCAGTCAGGGCTACACAGTGAGCTCAAGCCCAGCCTCAAAAACATAGCAAGACCCTGTCTTGGAAAATCAGAGCAAACAAGGCACAGCCTGGACCGTTTAGCAAGATCGTGTCTCAACATAAAAAGTAAGAAAGTCTGGGATGTAGCTCAGGGCTGGAGCACCCCGGGGTTCAATCGTCACTGCTGTAAATTAATGTTTTAAAAAGACAAAATAAGCACATCTCCTAGGGCCAATGGAGAGTCAGGTGCAGCGCTGCACCGGACACCTCCATCCCTGGCTCTCCGTCCTCTCCCCTGCCTGGTCCCCGAGAGTGGCGGGGGCGGATGCCTGGGAAGTGTCCAGTCCCGCAGGGGGCTGGGCAGGACGGGGGCCCGGCTGGAGCTTCACTGATCCCGTTACTCTGGGGCTGCTTCCAGGCCTCGAACCCCCGGAGCTGGAGAGCCTGGAAAAGGATCACGTGGAGCCCGACCACGTGTGAGTACCAGGGCTACCCAGGGCGCGCTGGGGGAGGAGAAACTGGGCCTCAGCGTGGCCCGGGGAGGGGGCCTCG